TTGCCAGCTCGCCCTCTCTTACTGGCGGGAGCGTTGCTGTGAGCAGCACAATCGGACACAGCAGCAGCCGCAGATTCTTCAACAGTGCCAGCTTCGGCCGCCAGTCGCTCGATGTGATGACTAGATGACACTCGTCCACCACCACTCGCCGCAGCAAGCCCTTGCCGCTGAGCATGTTTGCGTACCCTAAGAAGTTGCTGTTGCTTGTAGTGTCCCCTGCGGCGTCTGCGCTGACTACGACAACAGCGGCCAGGCTGCTCTCGCCGTGCTTCCACTCCATGCAGTCGATGCCGCACTTCTGCATCCGGTCTACTAGATCCTCAATGAGCGCTCAGTACAGCACCACGACCACCATCACCCTAGCGTCGTCCATGCAAGCCAGCACGCTAAACAGCAAGCTCTTGCCTCCACTGGTCGGCAGCACGACGACAAGCGGCGTCTGCCCATCAATTACTGCGTGCAGCGCCAGCTCCTGCTCTGCGGATCGAAACCCAACGTCCTGCTGACCAAGCACTTGCTGCATTGCCTTGCAGACTGCCTTCTCTTTCTTGTCTCTATGCAGCAACGCGGCTTCCCTGCCCTGATCATCCTTATTCCTGTCATCGTTATCGCTGTTAATGCCACTGCGCCCACGTTTCTTCGCCCTCCTCATCGGATCAATGTTGCCTGTCCAAGTCCGCTGCGGCGCTGCCTGCTTCCTATCCAGCCCCAAGAAGCAGTGCCACATCGCGCTGAGCGGACGGAACGCTTCGATCGAGCGCACGCTGAGATGCTTGATGATGTTGATTGGCACGCTGTAGTTGCCCACTCTAATCACTGTTGTCCTTGCGTTCTGCAGCTCCATCACGTCCTCCCCATCCTCGTCTACCTCAGCCTCGTCCACCTCGCCAACCTTGTCTTGATAGCCCTTGCTGAACCGCTCGCCTACGACAACTCAACCGATGCCAACAGCCGCGTGCCAGTAGTCGAGCGTGTGCAGCGGCACTCCCAGCCTCTTGCCGGTCTCTCGCCTCAGCGCTCGCGTCAGTCGATCAGTCCCCCACGGGCCCTGCTCGTCCGCCCACACGTAGTCGCTGAAGCTGCCGCCGAGCACCTGCACGGTGAGATACTCACGGAACGGCTGCAAGTACGCCAAGTACAGCACCATCACCTGCCCTAGCCGCGGCGGCAAGAAGCGCGGCACCACCTTCGGCTTGTCCCACTGCGACTGCGACTTGTGATAGTGGACAACCGTCATCACCTGTCCGTCCATGACGAAGATGTTGCGGTCCTGCAGCAGCCCATTGCAGTGCCGCATCGTCGTGATCTCTGACCCTCTGCCTGGCTGTCTGGACGTCGTGTGCACGCAGACTATTAGCAGCATCAAGAAGTGGTCCACGCAACGCAAGTATCGCTTGACATGCTTCACGTTCTACTGCCCTTCGCTTGACTGCAGTCTGCAGCCCTGCTTAGTCTGCTTAGCCTGCGTCAGCATCCACTCTAGCTTGTCCTAAAGACTATTGTCACAGTGCTGCACAAAAGACACGCCCTGCTGTTCAAACGTGACGTTGTTGACAAGTATGTCTAGCTTAACAGCAAACTGCTCTTCTGCCCTTGTTACCTAGAACAGTTCCTCCCACAGCATCTGCTCTGCTTTAGACACCATGTCCTGCGCCATCTTGCAGAAGCGGCTGATGTAGATCCGCCGGCTGTGCAAGTAGAAGATCTTCTTGTCCTTTGACCAGTACGCGTTGCCTAGGTTGCCGGCCGCCAGCGCGACGTACTTGCCGTAAGCCAGCAAGCTGAGCGCCTCGCTCATCGGGCTGTACGAGCCGTCTGACAGATACTTCTCTCTGTGCTCCAAGAAGCGCTCACGATCCTTGTCAGTCTGCTCATCGCGGCACGCGGATAGGAGCAACTTCTCCACGCTAAGCACGCGCATGCAGTAGACTACGCCTGCTAGCATGTACGAGTAGTTCTTTGCCGTGCGCAAGCAGTTTGTGTTACTGTTAATGCCCAGCACAGCGAGAAAGTGAATAAGTCCACTGCTGAACAGCTTGTCACCTGTTGTCGTGAAGAAGAATGATGTGAGCAAGTTTAGCAGCACTTTGAGCTGAGCGTCGCGCTGAGCGCTGCGCTGCGCTTCGTCATCAGCGTCAGCATCGCGGTCCAACATCTCCCACAGTGTTACTACGAGCTCCTTCTGCTCAACTGTCTAGTGGAACAGCTCTTGCGCGTCTTTTATCAAGTCCTTCTCTCTTCGGCCGCTGCTCAGGATGTTTGCTAGTTGGCTGCTGTCAGCATTAGAGAAGTCGTTGTCATTGTTCTCTTCCTCTTCTTCCTCTTCCTCTTCCTCTCCTTCTAAGCCATCCTTGTCGCCCTCATCATCTTCGTCGCTGCCCTTGTTGCCGCCTTCCTGCGCCGCCATCCTTGCCTCTGCGTCAGCCACGAAGCGCAGAGCGTAGCAGACAAATTTGACCATGTAGCCAGCGTAGCAGGCCTGACTCTCTAGGTTCTATAATTAAGCTATAGGCTGCTGATCAATCTCCTATTGCTTTGCGCTCCTCAGCCACTGCCTTGTCTCTCGCGCAAGCGTCAACAGCCCCTTGACGCTTCTCTCCACCAGCAGCTCCGTTAGCTTCGCTGCCTGCCGCAGCTTCTCCTCACCTCAATCAGGCAGCCAGGTCTGATGCGCAAGATGCATCAGATTGCGGTTAGCAAAGTGCTCTAGCCAGCCTGTCCGCTTAAACCAGCTAGTTTTATCTATCTTTACAACTTTAGCATCTATAACCTGCGCCTTCTCTTTGTTTGCGTGTTTTATTAGCGTCTATTCTGCTAGCTGCTCCCTAACAATGTCTATTATCTTATAGGGGTTAGATAGTGCGTAATTATTGTCTACTACCTTAATAACAAAGTATTGCTAGAGCCTACTAGTTTAGAAGAATATCTGTGCTATAACCTTCTTACAGAGTCTAACATCTTTACTGCTCTAAGCTGTCTAGTGTACGTTGTTGCAGTGCTTCTGCATTCTAATCTTGTTTGCGGTACAGAAGCCGCAGTCGCTAGTGATCCTGCATTGATAGACGTCTAACGGCTCGCCTAGCTGCTCAATCAGCGGCCCCAACGGCGCAGGCAGCTCAACATCTTGCGGTGCGGCGATCTGCCATTGCCGGCAGTGCTCTACAATTGATTTCCTCTCTTCGCTTGCTACGCCGTGCTGGTCGCGCAGATGCACATCGACGTTCTGTATGCCTGTAGCGTGCTCCTTGCAGATTAGCACCTGATAGCGCTAGAGATAGCAGAAGCGCTCTTGCACGTTGTTAATTGTTATCTTGCTTGCGCGCGGTCGCTTGCGGTGCTGTGTTGTAGTTATTGTTGCAGGTGGCTGTGCGTTCTAGCAGAACTCCATGCCTAAGATAACCCTAAGCGCAGCAATGCAAGCTGAGAAATGCAGAAACAAAAGTTGCAGCGCGATAGAGTGTATAATTTTTGGCAGGTTTTGTATAGAACATGTTCCGCGAGCAGTGCAGCTTAGGGGTATGATTGGGGGTCAAAGACACGATGTTTGCCCCCTATCGCAGGCCCAATTCGGTTGCGCAACCCTAACGCTACACCCGTTTCAGCGATGATCGGGCCCGAGCATGCGCGTCATATAGGTTAGGGTAATATGTTGTGAAGACAAACAAGCTAATTAACGCAAGAAGCGCCTCTGTCTAAGCTGCTCTGTTGTTGCCATCTAGCGCGTCCTATAGCTTAATCCTAAATAACTTCTGCTTGTCTGTTGTAGTCAAGGTAAACCCTGGTGCTCACAAGGCGAGCAGAGCATTAGACGAGTGGCTGGGCTCAGAGGGCATCTCTGGCGGCTCTATTAGCGAAAAAGCAACGCTCTCAATCGAGGCAAGCGCGCCGGCGCCTGCGACGCAGGTGGAAGAGATAGAAGACAGCGAGCTGGAAGAGAGTGGAGATGGCAACAACAATAGCGTGGAGCCTGCGCCCTCCCAAAGGACTGCAAAGAGCCCTGCCGCCGCCTGTGCAATGCGCCAGCTTACCCTACTTGAGCTCTTTAAGCCTTTTGCAGGCACATAGCGTGCTGTAATCAATTGCTCTGTGCTGTGCATTTCATGTGTTACCTTCTTCTGTTAGTTAACTTAGTGTTAACTACAGTGTTGTTGTTCTGTGTTCTGCTGCAGTTATTGTCCGCGCTAGCGCAACCCTAACTATGAACATTAAACCCTACCCCTATTAACCACGCAGCTAATTTTGCTACAACTTACACAGGTAATACAGGTTAGTGCTACAAATTATACGTCCAAGTTTAAAGCAGATTAAGTCTGTTGTTGCAGAACGACTGTAGTTAGGAGGAAAACTAACTGTACCCTGTGATGAGATATCCGCGCAAAACCTGTAGCCCTAGTCCCTAACAAATTTGCAACCCTAAATCAACCATAGGTACGGTTGGTTTACCCATCTTGGATAGATTAAACTAGCTTAACAAGCTTAACTACCTAACATGCCTTTCTAATAGCAACCTTGTTTTGCAGAAGTACTCTAGATTCTTGTAGTTAGTGATAACTGTGAAGTGTTTCACAGATCTTAGCTTAGTGCTCTATTCCTAGAGGCACTTGATAACTGCCAGCATCTCCTTGTTGTGGATAGTGTAGTTCACCTTAGCCTTTGTGTTTTTTGTAGAGAAGTATGCAACAGTCCACAGGACGCCATCAGTCCTATACTGCAACAGTACTCCCCTAGTGGCCTATCTAGAGGCGTTGCACTCTAGGATTGTCTTTAGGTCCTTGTTAAAATTTAACAGTGTAGGTTCTACAATAAATGCTATCTTTATAGCCTTAAAGGCTAATTATTAAGGCTTCCCCTACTTAAATACTAAATTCTTCTCTATTAACTAAGTTAGTAGTTCTACTATTAAGGAGAAGTTACTAATAAACTATTAATAGAAGTTAGCAAACCCTAGGAAGCTCTGTATCCCTTTTACTAATTTTAGGGGTTCCTAGGCCTTAATAGCAGCAACTTTTCCTAGATCTATCTAGATCCCCTTACCTACTTTAATAATAAAGCTAAGGTACTTAGTCTTCTTAACAGAGAACTTACACTTCTTAATATCTAAGTAGAGGCCTGTATTGCCTAACTTCTAAACAATGTCCTTAACTTTAGCTTTGTGTTCTACTTGTAACCTACTTAAGTAGATAAGCATATAATCTATATACACAGAACACTATTTGTCTAGATCTTCCTGCAGTACCTAATTAATATACTGTTAAAAGGTACTAGGGGTGTTAGTAAGTCTAAAGGGGGTTATAAGCTACTTATATAGTCTAAACCTTGTCTAGAAGGCTATTTTCTACTTATTACCTTTAGTAATGCGAATTTTATAGAATACTTAGATTATATTAACTTTAGTAAACTATTTAGCCTTTAAGATTTGTAATAGGGTTTTGTAGATTAGTAGTAGGGGGTACTAGTCTTTTTTTATAATTATGTTAAGTGCCTAGTAGTCAACGCAAAATTAGAGACCTCTGCCAGGTTTCCAGGCAAATAGCACTAGCGCTGAGGCGCTAGATTTGCTCACACGAATGAAGCCTCTGTCTAGGTAGCTAGTTAGTTGTTGTAGTAGTCTGGCCAAAGGCCAATAAAGGATATCTACTTCCTAACAACTTTTGCTAAAAAGCATGCACAAGTTAACTAGACGTCTAGTTAACTGCGTAGATAATATATATCTAGCTTAAGCCAAGCCGGCTAAGCTAATGTAACCGGCTAGCTCTAGCTCTTCTTTAGCTTTAGAGTCTAGACCGTTACAGTTGTTAGCAGAGGACTAAGAGTTCTTCTCTTGACATGCTGTATAGGGGTCCCCAAGGGATTATTGCTAGTTTGCCGTCCTGCTTAATAAGCTTAATAGCATAGTCAACATCTGCTCCTCTGTGTGGAGCTAGTTTGTCTGCTTCTTCCTTTATAAACGTCTAGAACTCCTCCTTTAGGTAGTCAGGGAGGAGGACACAAGGGTCCCTAGAGGCCTTTTTTTTTAAGGCTTTCTGTATATCTGCTATAGAAGTAGAGAAGATTTCTATTAAAGAATCTTTCTTTAACTACTTTTGTAGTGCCCTGTACAGCTCTAGGCTAACCTACTGTAGTACTAGCTCTAGTCTGATGCCTTCTTTACTCCGCACCCTTGTTATAGACAAGTAGATAAACAGTGACTTCTTAGCTGGCGCTAGGGTCACTTTGTGCTTATCTATCTATAGGCAGCCTAAGATTAGGTTGTATTCACGTTCTCCTTTAAGGACGTACGCAAACATCTATTTAATATAGCTATTAATATTAATCCTTATCCTAACTACTTTCTTTAGCTAGGTTATCTTGCTAGCCACGCTAATAACTTGTTTCCTTAGTACAGAGATGCGCCTAAGGTTGTTTTGTGTTACAAAGCTTAAAGAGATAATTCTATAAGTTAAGCACCTAGTATTAATTAGTGTGTGTGCTATAGTCTTATTATCTATTAAAACGTGCAACAAGATAGGTTTGCTATCTAGCTATTGCTAATAGAACTGCTAGAATAACTTGCTATCCTAGTCAACCTTACTAATTAACCCCTGTCCATAACTTAGGATAGGAGGTTCTAGTTTTCTAAATTAGAATTGTTTAAGTCTGAGTATTCCTCCACACCGTTCGTCGTGGCAGCTGCGCTGACCTGTACAGTACCTGGTCGTCTGGCTGGGGCTAGCTTGCATTAGTTAACGTAGTGGCCGTCTCTGCCACACTAGAGGCACTGGTTGTTAGCCCTTCGCCTGTCAAGGACCTCTTGTGGTTTCTATTCAGCTTGTTCGCGTTTGTTGTTGTTGTTGTTGTTGTTGTCCACGCGCGCAGTATAGACTTTTGTAGGTTCCTAGTCTATCTTGTTATTGTCCTTCCTTCTAGGTTATTGTCTAAACAATGTGTTGTAGGTAGGCTGGCGGATGGGTAGGGTATGCTTTTTTACGTTTTGGCTTATAGCTTCTTAACTAGCAGAGATACGCTTACATAATCTATTATT